CCTTTGGTCATTTTTTATCATAAAAAGCTGGGGTTTGACTGAAGACACCCAAACTAAAAACAGGGAGAAATCACGACTACAAAAGTATATTTGTGTTTTTTTAAGAATGGCTAAGGAAAGAGAATTTAGCCCTCCAGTGCAGTATATCTACAGCTGGGGAAGAGGATGGAGGGGGGAACCCTTGAAATCTGTAGGTATTACTTCCATACCTGGCTGTAAAATCCTGATGGCTACTAGAGGTCAGCAGAGGAACCCTTTGCTATGATCAGGAGCAGTGTCTCTTTAAGATGTGTGGACTTCATCTCCCAGAATTCCTCAGCCAGAGGTGGCTGGGGAATTCTGGGAGATGAAGTCCACACATCTTAAAGTTGCCAAGGTTGAGAAATCCTGTTCTAGAGGTTAACCAGATTTTTACAACCCATCTACAGTAGCCCTGCCTATAATTCCCAAAGAACTCCAGTTTGTTTATTTCTATCAGCAGCCAGGATGGTGTGCAGTAAATCTATCAGTGGCTACATTTACTTCAAAACTGTCTTTATAGTGGCTGTCCTGCTTCGATCAACAAGCCTGGCATGAAATCCTATTGAGACTTCATGGCCTTATTAGGTTTCAGGAGGCAATGTTTTTCTCTCCCTTTTCCGGCCACTATCTTTAGTTTGATTTCCCTAAACAACTCTCAGGGTGATTTTTTTCCCCCCATTTAGTTTATTTATTCCACGTACATAACACAAAGGGCATTTTAATTAACTTAGTTCTGGCTTTTTTACACCTTTCTTGATGTGTTTCTCAGACAGAAACTCACCCCACCACCAGTTCAGCTTTTACAAATATGGGCTGTAATTGCCTGACTAGGTTCTACCAGGCATAAACAGGCTGACCTAAACAGAGATTGCAAGCAGGGTCAAGTAAACCTCTGCTGATTCTTGGGTTTTTCTGGGGACTTTGCTTCAGATTGAGAATACTGTATCCAGGTCTGGGCTTTGCAGTCTAAAAGGGGCATCAAGTTCTGGAGGGAGCAAGCAAAGGAGGTGGGTATGTTTAGCCTGCAGAAGAGAAGACTGAGGGCAGATATGATAGCAGCCTTCAGATATTGAATAGACTGTCTTGTAAAGGAGGGAGTGGACTTGTTCTTTGTCACCCAATGGGCAGGGCCCGAACCAATGGGCTGAAACTGCAGGGAAGTAGAATTAGATTAGATATCAGGAGGAATGCACTGATGGTAAGGGCTTTCACCCAGTAGAATAGGTCCTCTCTCTCTGTCTGTCTAACTACCTACCCACATTTCTTTGCTGCCTATACATGCAACTCTAGGTTGCCTCATTAAGTGGTACATTCTTCTTCACTGGAGATCTTCAAACAGTGGCTGGATATCCATGTGCCTAAAATGTTTTAGTGAATCTGTACTAAGCTGAGGTTGGACTGGATGACCGTTGAGGTTCCTCCCAATTTTATGATTCTATTATATACTGTGGAGCCTTGTCTCAGCTCTGCTTTATTTCTCACCCGTCTTGCATGTGCATGGGCCTTGGAGGTAGTCAGACCCCAATATCATGACTAGGGATCTTTGCAAAGGGAAAGTAGCAAGGTTTCCATGATTATAGCTGTCACATCTGTTAGTAGTGCTGCAGCCTGCCAAGGAGATTCTTATCACAGAATTTGCTAAAGTTGTTGTTTGTATCCATAATTTTTTTTCCTATTACCCCTGGAGAAGTAATTTCCACATTTCTGCTATGAGGCTGAAGTCATGAATTCCAATTTCTTATTGACATAAAGTGTAAAATGGAGCTCAGTTAGCAAATAAGAAAAAAGGGAGAGAGGTGGAAGTTAATATACTCCTGTACCCCAAAGCAAACCTTGGCCTACACATATCATAAATGAATATAGACATTGCCCCCTTCAAGACGGATTGATGGATTGATGGATTGATTGATATTTCAAATGTGGTCACCACCCATCTCACGTGGAAGTGACTCTGAGATCTTGAGGCAATGGCATCCACCATCGTAACAATTGTTTTCCATAATTACCTTGAATTATAAAAATTGCAACTGAAAAAAAATGCAGGGGGAAGGGGAATTGTGCATCACAAATTAACCTTTGGCCCACAAGACATGCATCCTCACAAGAATAGCCTTTATCAGATGACCCAGCATTGCAACTAGTCTAATAGTTTTTTGGGATTTTGTTCAAGACACAGTTGCAAGAACACCCAGTAAGATGTGCTTAAAAGCCTATTGGGCTGTGCATTCTGTTTCCATTCTGATTATAATTCCCCGTTTTTGTCTTGAATTTCCAGGAAGGAAAATGTTATCAAAGTAAACTATGGTACACTTTGTCACCCTAGAGTAACTCCATCATCTGTAGTCCTCCGACAAGGGATAAATACATTATTACATATCTGATACCAATGTGTGTTTTAGTGATCACCTGGCCATTATTTTTGAGTAAATGTGTTTTTTCTATCTTACTGCCTTCCAGATGTGCTAGACTACAAATCTCTGGAGGATTGTGGAAATTGGAATCCAAGACAACTGGAGTTCATCAGGTAGAGGAAGATTGTGATAGACAGCTGTTTTTATTCATCCCAATCTCCTACAGGCTCTGGATTGATTTTTTAACTGCATGGGTTGAAAAATCAAAATATGAATACCGTTCTGCTGCTGATGGCTCAGTTGCCTCCTTTACTTTACTTGAATTGAGATATGAAATGAAGCCAACAAAACCAGGAGAAAGATTGTATTATTTGTATCACTGTATATTGTGTATGTATACATGCACACACACCATGAAAAATGCTTCACTCTCATCTTTTAAGGCCAAAGATCTAACTTTCCTAAAGGAGTTTAATTTTAGCATCCCTTGTTTTCTCCAGTGAAAGACGAATTAAAGCCTTGCGGCAAAATGTTCCCGCACACCCTTAGACCATAACCCTTACCAATTCAGTTTTACAACATTTATTTTATTTATCTTGCAGCAGTGATAGCTCTGGAAAGAGCTCTGCCTGGATCTTGCAATTCAGGGTTTGAAACATTTGTGTTATATTTAGGAGATGCTATTACACAATGTTCAACCACTTTGATCTTTTTGCCAATTACATTGTTTACAGAACTCCAAGAAGAAATTAACATTTTGCAACATGTGATGTGAAAACTAAACAGAACAAAGGTAAAGAGATTGAATTTCAGAGCAGCAGGGAAGTAAATCAGCTGTCAGGGTTGGTGGGGTTGTTGTTTTTTTTTTAGTTTCTAATCTTACCAAACTGAGGAGTCAGCTCTTCTTGTGCATCTCAGAAAAGCTTGGCTGCAATTTGTATCTATTCAGATTTCAAAAGGCAATCCAGAAGTACCACCTTTTTCTGAAGCAACTAGAGGCAATGCACCTAAGAACAAATTGCTTTTGTATTTATGGACCTGGGGAAGTAGAGTTTAATTATTAATCCAAATAACACCAGGTGTAATCAGACATCAATAACACTTACCACTTACTACATTCTCGTCCTCACACTGACTTTAAACCTCAGACTGTTGCACCTGACCTAATTTTGGGACTGTCTTGTTTCTCCCCACCACCGGCTTATTATAACATTTTCCTGATACAGAGTTTGTGCCATTTGATTTGGCTTAATAAAAGCACAATTGTCCTATTATAGATGTTGGATTCTGTGTCTTTTTCATGTTCTCACACTATATTTTTTAATGTTCTCCCAAACGGATTATCGATCGTCTTCCCTTCCACTGTATCTATACCAATGGATAATACTTCTCCAGGACCCATGGTAATGTTTAGCTTTTGTGAGCTTTGGTAAATAAGGGTTTCCCAGAATCTCTCCCCAGCCAACGTTTATATATTCCAAACTCTGCGGACAATTGTATTTGATACAGTTTGCCTTCTGGGTCTTATTCAAATGTCCACCTTAGCACTGTTAAATCTAAATTGATTAGGAAATACAAATTACCAGAACATGTGAGCAATACTAATACTGTATATATACAGTGTGTGTGTGTGTGTGTGTGTGTAATAAATAAAAATATAAGGGACACCTCCAGGGAAAAGCTACTGGAATGCCTCAGATTTATTAGCCAGAACAAAAGCTAAGGTCTTTCTGCTTCCTCAAATAATGTGCAATAGCCATCAAATTGTTTCCTGGTCCCCTTTACATTGTCAGCATAACTCCTTTGACTTGAAGGAACTTGTTTGTGGTTTCCACTTATCTGATATCATGATCAGATTACAAACAAGTTGAAGGAACCCAATGAAAGGCCAGATTTTAGGTGTCTTATTGATTCTTAGAGATCCTATATAGATAGATAGGATCCTAGATAGATAGATCCTAGATAGATAGATCTATCTGTATAGATAGATCCTAGATATTAGAGATCCTGTATAGATAGATTGGACCTATTGAAGGAAGTGGCCTCCCATAGGATTTTTTCCAAGAAAGAATTGAAGCAGAAAACACTCCAGAAGGTTGATTTTGGGGCT